CAACAAAGGACTGATTACGAGGGATGTTAACCAGTTAGCTCAATCATTTTAGTTATATAAGGGAAGAAGGATGACGTTGTTAACTAGTGAAATTATATTATTATAGAATTCAAGAGAAATTGATGAGGAACATTGGATGTTTGGTAGGATTGCATGGTCAATTTGATCATTCTTCATGTAAGAGAGGAGACTAAGAAACCAAAAAAATTGGAATAAATATTAACTAGTGGCTCAATTATCTATTATTGTTAGGCATTAGACAATATTCAATAAGAAATGAATGATGAATGACAATGTTAGAAGGCTGCTCATCCGTCCTCTTTGTTTGAGGGGATACTAAGAAACTAGGAGGATTGACACTTGATGCCTGAGGCTAGCATCATCGGATTAAGGGATGTATATCAATAGTCTATGAGGAATATTAAAGATTGGATCACATCTGGTGATTGGCATGCTAACTGCTCTTCTTATATAAAACAGATTAAATAATTTGGAAGATGGTTTATTAACATTGGGGAATGAAAGATGTAAAAAAATTTTAGATATCAATCTTGGATAGGTTTTAAACGGTAATTGATGAGGAATCTTAATTCTTTGGGGAATGGATTTAATAAAGGGTAAACCAAGGAAAATAGATGTGGAGGGTTAGTTCATGACATCAAATTATGATAGGAAGCTTTTGGTGGAAATTTTTTCTTAAGGTTTAAGTACTTATATAGGGTCAAGGAAGAAGGCTAGGTGCAATGGAGCCTAATCTTGGCCGATAGCTTTCATGTGGGGGTTTAAGTTGATATTAATAGCTTGAATATGAACAAATGGTCTTGAGAGGTGGGTATTGGGTGGTATTTAGTGAAAGATACTACATAGGTATTGTTACAGGCTAGAGTATACGTAGTCATAGAGTTAGAAAATTTTACGTCTTAATCTCACACGAATATCTAGCACACAAATAGAGTAAAAAGAAACACCATAATTTTTATGTGAAAACCCTGAAAAGGGAAAAACCATGGCATCATGCCTAGATGAAATGATTTCACTAGTGTTTGCTTAAGTTACAAGTGGTTGACTCGTCCCTGAAATTAAGGACGATCAAATTACAACTCTCGGCCGGGTTGAAATTCAGTTACAAACAGATATCAGAATTTGGTTGGTCAGACAGAACCTCAGAGTCCGCTGGCTATTGGAAAGAACTCCGGGGTCAGTCGACGGTCGGACAGAATTCCAATGTCAGTTGGCGATCAGGCAGAACTCCCGTGTCGGTCGAACGCCGGGTGAAATTCCAGCGGTGGTCGAGGAGGAGTCTCTTCATTCTCTTACTTTTTTCCCTTCTCTTCTTGCTTCCTTCCTTAATTCCGGTGTCGGATAGCTGTCGAGTGATAGTTCGATGGTAGTCGAGGAGTCTCTTCATTCTCTTCTCTTCTTGCTTGGAGTCCCCTCTCAAGAGAAATGAGGGGTCTATTTATAATTTTCTTAGAGTGACATGGCCAGTAAATAAGAGGAATATCAGAGGTAAATTATGAGTGATTTGAATGGACGGTCGATGATGAATCCCTTGATCATAAACCGTTTATTTGAGCATTTGAATGTCTTAATGATATCATAAATTGGGGATCTTGGGCTCGTTGGATTTGTCTCGTGAAGCTGCTTGATTTGACTATAAGCACTCTATATTTGGAAACTGTTTGGTAATCCAAATTATGGATTGAACCTTTCAAATGTGCTTCGGGTCATTGATTTGGACTCATATGAGCTCGGATTGAGTTGAATTTGGTATCGTTGGATTCGTATTTCTAAGATGTTCAGTTCGATTATAAGTTTGATGAAATCGGAGTTCAGATGATCCCGGATTTAATTTTTGAAGTTTCCAACCTGATTCGGCCTCGAGAATCATGCCCGATCAATATAATTTTTTGATATATCAGATATGAAAGAGGATTTAAGAAGAGGAATAATAAACATAAAAAACAACTAACTAATTCCATTGAAATTGGTTAAAGTAGACTACCAAGCTTCAAATCAAAAGAGAACAATTTTCTCTAAATTTTTTTATTATTCATAAGTTTAAATCTGTTATTATATATTTACATATCATCAATATTTATAGAAATATATGATTACCATCATTTAAAAATAAGAGAAAATTTTTGGGGATAAATGGATTAAGTGATCATTAATGGAGGAAGATGTCAAATACATTCATTAATTCATCTAATCTCTATTAAATGATTAGCATATATATTTTTTCTAAATTAAAAAGTTAAACTATCTAGATATGCTAACTTTAAATTTTAAATATTAAAATAATAAGTTCAAATTTTTTTTCTTGAGTATGTAGACATTTATAGTAGGCTTTTTTTTTTTAAAACCATCAAATATATTGGATAATAAAGAGGCCGGGTTACAACAGTAAGATGCACAACTGCAATAAAAGAAGATACACCTTCTAAGAGAAAAACCTAAACAAAATAGGGATAAACCCTACAAAGAGAGGGCTCAGTAAATTGCCGGGGCTCCAAGCATCCCCAAAGTCGAGCAAGGACCATTCAGTTAGAAGAATAAAACGCTGATCGAACCAAGCTAATTGATGAAAGCACCTAAGGTTGCCACTAGCTAGGTGAAGGGGATACGAGCCCCAGCACATCATAGCCCCGCAAACCTCCAACCAACCAAATCCGGCCGATAAGCAAATTCGAAAATTCAGAAGGGAAAAACAGAAATGAAACAAAATTATCTTCTTATACCGCCTCTACCGCAAAATTTCCCACGAGATGCAACATTGAGAGGTCTATCACGCACCAGCTTAAACTCGCTGCCAGGATCCGAGCCACCGCAGAAATCTGAATATGAATCGGAATCCGATTCATATTCAGAAGAAAAGTGCAACCCATCACCATGGGATCGAACATCCATTCCTGAAGAACCACCCAACTGGTACATCATAGCTTGCGAAGCCAAAAGATTCACAGGCATATTAACTAAATTTTGAGAATTAATCAACGTTCCTGAAGTACCACACACCTCAATAGGAGCCACAGACACACCAACATTCTGTAGCCGTTCACAACCATTTAAAACACCCAAAACCGGTGAATCACCCAACCCACCAGAAACATTCAATCTCACTTCAGAAACAGCCGCATCATCCATACCATGCAACAAAGGGGACTCGGGATCCAACTGATCCAAAACTGGAGAAGAGCCCAAAACCACACTAAATTCTGGCACCTGAACAACATGCGGAAGGCTTCCAGACATCGCACCAGGCAACCCATTAGAGTTAACATCAAACAACTGGACAGAGCCTCCCTCAACAACAGGGGAAACAAACAAAGAAAATGCAGTCGGTAAAACTTTAGGTATATTCTCAATATTAGCAAGCTCACCCCCCAAAACCTCCACAACAGTAGGATCAGAATTCGAAATAACATTATCACACATTGAGGGGGTAAATTAGCTAAAGGGCTTGAAGAAACATTCGGGATAATAGACGCAACAGGACGACAATTTCCCAAGGAATGCCCAATACATTTGCAACCCGCACAGAACTGAGGAAACTCATCAAAAACTACCTCTTGAACGTAACCTAAAGCTTCTGAACCTAACCAAACTTGTTTAGGGTAAGTGTTGGTAATGTCTAGCTCAACCAACACCCGAGCATTGGACGGGCGGGTACCGACAGCTGTGGCTTCATCAATTTTCAAGGGCTTGCCAAACAATTTTCCAAGCCCAAATAGAATTCAAGGAGCGAAGAAATGAGGCCGAAGACGAGGAAACGAAATCAATATCGGGATAACCGGCGATTCAACACCGATATCCAAACTAGGAGACCACTTCGTTAATTTCATATAGCAGTTATAGACAAGGTAAGAGCGGTGACAGAACACCTTACAATAATCTAGATCATTAGAAAGCTTGATCAGAATATGAGAGGGGTCCAGAACAGTGACAGAAACCTCACTTTTAAGCTTTAAATTGAAAAAAAAAAATTACGAATAGCTTCTAGAGAAGGCCTTTTGGAGGGGAAAAAGCCAACTAATGAGAACTGAAAAGGGGCGGCCAGCTCGTTGATTTCATCATCGAAAATCCACAAAGAAGGTAATCCATGGAAGGTCGAAGCATGCAAATCCGAAAAAGAATTCTTGGAACCAGCAAGTGCTTCAAGAAAAGAACTTGAGTGAGAACCCCCACCGAAAAATCCAGGGTCCTGGAGCTTAGCACTCGGCATACCGGCACAGCCGGCGAAAACCGAAAACAAAACCAACCAAAAAACTACTCCAAATACAAGAGGAAGAAGGAAAATGAGAAAACTTTCCTGATGCGAGGAGGACGCCGGGAGAAAACCCCCCGCGGGGCGAGGGAGCACCCGGAGCAAAAAACCCTAGTGGAGCGGCGGATGATTTCTAATTAGTTGTATTAGCTATGCATTTATAGTAGGCTTTGATTGAGCTCTTGCTTCAGTACTTTATTGAGTTCTTATTTGGACTATCATAATATTGGACATTAAATTTCACTTTTTAAATTCAATTGACGTCCATAATTGATTAATCCTATTTAGACTCGAACCAAAAATTTATTGTTTTTGTTATGTTCGTCCTTAATTTTGCATATCCTAATTTATTGACTATAAATTTGTTGAAAATGAAGTTCAAATAATCTTATAATTAATTGCTCAAGTTTTTTTTCAGATGTTTTGAGACTTGAAATTTGCATCAAAATTTATGATCAATAAAATTAATTTTTATTGTCGGCATATCAAATTTAGTAATGTCTTGATTTATGTATTAACACATATTCATCAACAATGACAAGAAATTAAATGTGCTTCATCAAATTCCAAATTTAACTCAGAAATTTGCATCAGAAGAAGAAAACTCAAAAATAATTCTTATATTTTATTTTCAATTATTTTAATAAACTTTCTCCATTACATTATAATTAATAAATTACAATTTTCTACCTTAAAAAAATGAATCATACACATATTTGATATTTGATGCCTTAGTCACAGTGAACGTACAACATTGTCGATTTGGAGAAATTATTTTGTGTGGCGACTATACGCATAGCGTTGTCCGGAAACCAATCAGAATGCTCCACGTCAGCGTTACCGAGCAGTACGGAGCCATGGTACCGAGCAAAGGGGTGACGTAGCGCATTCTGGTTGATCTCCGGACGACATTCAGCATCCGCACAGAATAATTAATTGTCAATTTGACATGAGAGTAGATGGCCAAAAGAACCCAGTTCTCTTGGAGAAAAAATATAAATCACGCTTCTTATTTGTTTCTCTTGGAGAGATGTAGCTACTTGTTCAAGCAAGGAACCTTGAAAGGCCAATCTTATGTCCAAATAATTTAACATCTTCCTTGATTTGCTGCTTATATTCCATGAAGGTGAAAGATCTATAAATAGATGGAGATTTCTTGCTATGAATGATGGTTTCATACGATGGACATAATTGAAAGGCAATGGAGAATCTCTCTATTTCTAAATTTGCCATTACTCTATGTCGCACACTTCTGTACACATCATTACTCCATGCCTGAAATGTATAAAAATTACACCAAATAAGCCAACCCATTTTTTTTAACTTAAAAAAACAAGAAAAAAAAATCATAATATCTAATACATTGAACACCTCATGCATGTCATATACAAGGGCAAATTGTGTAGTGGTAATTGAAACTCTTAGTATACTAAGTGTTATTTATAATCTGCCTCATCCCGAATTTTAATTTTTGCTCCTAGCCTAAACATTTTTTCAAGCAAATTGCCACTCAAAAATCAGAAATTCTCTTGGTCACCCACTATTTTCATCTAATTATGTTAATTTTTTCTAACACAAACAAACAAATATGTGAAAAACGATTACGCGCAAAATAATTTATTTTTGCACCCTTATATATATATATATATATATATAAATTTTTCGCTGGCCCCCTAAGAACTAAAGCCGGTTCCAAGTTCTACCCCTGCATCTATATATAAATATATATTGGTTAAAACCCATCAAAGGACCTACGTGTTAGTTCATCATATATACTATACAGTTCTTATAGGGATAAAATGCTATCTCCTCAAATAGCTACAACAAAGATTTAAAAAAAAAAAAACCTAATGAATTGAATATAAAAAATATTGAATATTAAGTATCCTTATATTGTAACATAATCTTTTACCAACTATACCAAAATAGCTACAAATTTATAAAATATATATGCTGCCATTGTCTAACAACATTATTTAAAAGCTTGTAGCAGCGAAGAAAACAAGTTAGGTCTCCTTTGGTTGCTTGAGGAATATTGATAGTATATGTTATGACGTGTATTATAAGGTTAGAAATTAAATACAGTAACAAAATGCATAAAATACCTGAAATAAGTCACCAATATTGACTATAAGAGCACTGGAATTAGGCTTAACAGTGATCCATCTTCCTCCTTTCAACAACTGCAACCCACCAACTTGATCTTGATAAACTATTGTGAGAAAATCGGTATCGGTGTGAGGAACCAACCCGAAAACTCCTTTCGGTATCGGACATGGAGGGTAGCGATTAAGCCTCAAATAGCATGAGCTGGGTTTACAATGCTCTTCTATGTAATCAATGTTTCTTCTTCCTTCTTTCCCTTCAAATCCTTCTGCTAATATCCCTGCAAGCTCGTATGAAAGCTGAGCCACTCTCGTCGCATATTCGTCTATCACACGCCTGCATTAAAGTAATAGAAACAGGGATGAAGCACAGTGTAGGTTCGTGAGAAGCAAGAGGCGGATAACTTAATGGGGATGAAAGTCGGTGCAGATCTTCGGAATAAATGCATTTGAATCCAGACCCGTTGACCCGAGCCGACAATTAATGCATGCAAGATGCCGTACCTGGCCCTGAGCTTGGTCGGTGCCGCTGATGGCGTCATAGGGATATGATACGCTTCGGACCAGGATAATTGGCTGAGAGAAGTGGCCGTCGGCGTGCCCCACGTGTAACAGTACCCTGCGGCGAAGTCGAGCAGCTTCCCCTTCTCCTTCTCTGCGAAGGGTTGTCGAAACAGGTTAGCCTGCACCTTCCGAAGGCGGTCCAGAAGCTCAGGCGGCACGCCATGGCCGACAACCTGGAATAGGATTAATCAGGATTTAAAATAAAAATATTAAATTTATATAATAAGATCATTATGTAATTAACCTGAAAGAAGCCCCATTCGGCGGCGGCCAAACGAATCTCAGCCTTGCATTCCTCGGGTTCGAGGATTAGACGGCTGAGTTCGATGAGTGGGAGGTCGATGACGGCATCCTTCTCCGGTGGAGGAGGAGGGAGCGGCGGCGGAGGAGGAGGACCACGGTCATCGATGAGAAGCTTGTAGGTTCTTAGAAATGGAGGGTTGGGATCCCCGGAGACCATGGACCTGTTGTGCTGTTGAGATTAGTCAAATGAAATTTGGCTAACAGGGAACAACGTGCGGAAGTATGAATGATAGGGAAGCACGGCGAGGAGTTTTTCACTTTTTCTTGTCTCATATTATTTTATAAAGAGAGTTGTTCATCTGGTTACCGGTGATAAGCCGGTGAAAAGAGTGGCGGCCCCGGTATGAATAGGAGTGTCAATTTTTTATACGACCCAAACTCCGGTTTTGGGTCGACCGGTTTGTGAATCAGGTCGGGTTTGTGTTGACATGGAAACCTGAAAATAACCGGGAAAGGGTATGTCCGCGTCGAGCGTGCGTGCTCGGCTATCGGCATCACCTGATGCGTCGAGTCTCTTCGGGTGCATTGCCCGACAGATCGAGTCGATTCGTGCCGCTGCTATTGTGTCATCGTTGCCGCTACGCTGGCTTTGAATCAGAACTAGAAGTAGCGACTTGCAACGAGAGCTCAGCTCACGCCTTTCAGCCAAATCTCATAAATCCGGCTCGAGTCGTGTTAACTCGGCAACCCGCACGGATCGGGCCCGAGTTGAAATAGCTGATCCGTTTGCAAAAACGGGCCAGATTCAGGTTGACCTCTTTATAATTGGGTTAACTCGGATCCGACCCGAACCTAACTTGTCGACCCGAATTGACACCGTTAGATATGAAGGAAAAACTTTGGGTTAGGACACTGTGCCTAAGTTGTGATTATAATCCATCTAAAAATTACTGAATTTTTTATAGTTAAATTTAATATAAAAATTTTAATTAGAAATTATATTATATTTATTTAAAATAATTAATTAATTATAATAATTTCAAGATTGCTCACGCTTAAGAATTTAAGGTTTATTTAGTACACTTTTTTTAATACTTTGTTTTTCATATGACAATCACACTACTATTTTTTATTTCTTTCAAAATTTTTTATTTTAGAAAGTTATTTTATACAACTTAAAAAAAATCTTCTTAATAATTTTACATCCAACTTAAAAAAAAAAAAAAGAAATAGTCCCAAACGTTAATTAGTTAATTTAAATAAGCTAATTACTTAAACTAAATTAATTAATTAGTTAATTTAACTTATTTATTTTAAATTAGTTAATTATTTTAGTTAATTAGTAAATTAAATGATTAGTTAATTTAAATTAGTTAATTCGTTAATTTTTAATTATAATTTTATGATTATTTCTCAAAAAATTTAAAATCCATAAAAAAATTTATCGAAATTTTTTCACTGGAAATTTCTTAGAAGTCCATCGAAAATCTGTTGGAAATCATTCGAAAAATCTCGGTAGAATTTATGAAGTAAAATTTTCATTAGTAATTTACATTTTTCCTTGGTCAAAACATTCAAATTCTAAAATGGTCATTATCATATGAGATGGTCGCCAGATTAGTAACATTTTTTTTTAAAAGATGTTTGATACTGTAAGTTTTCTGAGCTCAAAATTCCGTTTATTATACAATAAAAATAGAATCGAGAATCATTCATATGCGTTGAAATATTCTCATTCAGAAATTTTTCATAAAAAATAAAAAATAATAATATTTTATTTGCATGTTCTATGATTAAATCATTAATAATTTGATAAAAAATTTTAAATAAATTAGTAAGTGTTAAACCGTTATAGTAGGTCATAAAAAATGTTACGAAAGTCTAATTTATTAGTAATGGTAAATCATCTTTATTTATTGGTTTGAGAGCTTTGACTTTCAGTTAATATATTTTTGATTTCAAGTCTTACATATGTGATGTATGCATGAATCCTAATTGACCTAAATGTTTAATTTGTCATATATGAAATGATCAACTGTTTAATAATGTCTTCAAATGGGGAAATTATTGGGTCAGGTCATCGGACATGTTCGGAGCCCAATGAAAATGCGTCACATCACCACCTACTCGGTACTGAGCTCGGGACTGAGCAGTACCAAGTACCGAGCAGTCTCAGTACTGCTCAGTACCGAGCTCAGTACTGCTCGGTACTCAGTACTTCACAGCACCGAGTTCAGTACTGCTCAGTACTGTGAATACCGAACGTAAGCTGTGTCGGATGACCTAATTAAACCAATAATTTTCCCTTCAAATGAGGAACAAATCATACCAGCTTATAGAAGAGGAATTGAAGAAAGAAGAAGATTTCGACGGTGCCCCTAAGTTAAGTATAACAACAACAGCTACAACTGTGACCTAAGGGTATGCGATAAACGACTGAAGAAAAAACAGGAAGATTTAGTTCCAGGAAACTAATTACTACAACTTTTTTCTTTCTCTCTTCAGTCACCATCGACTGAACTTGACGTGGACGCACAGTTAAGTACTCAAAATTGAACTGTGTATATATTTATATATCTGCAATGATTCCCTTATAAGGCTTTCCCAGCACGCTCTTATCTAGGATTCTAAGATAAGGTAGCCGTTAAACTCTCTTATCCGGCCTTTGTTTTATTAAGTTTTTCAACATACATACACAGTTGACCAGCACTCTCTTTCTCTTCAGTCACCTACGAGTATCTATATGCTCTTATCCTCGATCTCTCTTGCGGTGCGACTCAGCATAAAAAAAATAACTACAGGTCCTGAACTTGTGGGACTGGTTGTTGGTAGGCTCGTCGAGGGATTAGTTATGCCGCCAAGCGCCTCCCAAGGAGGATGACAATGGATAGATACCTCCGTTTCAAAAAAAAAAAAGTTTTTCAATATATTTTTGCATGATATTTGTGTTGACCATCCACATCGACGCATGTTTAATACCTTCTAAATTAATATTTTTTTGAAGATAATTGTGTTTGCAATTGTTTTATATATATACGTTTACCATTGTTGACAATTCAGTACATTAACTATAATATTATCCAGCTTTTTTTGACTCAAAACCATGCACTACTTCACATTAATCCTTTCAAATAAGTTATTAAATAGGACAAATTAATTGATCATATTGACTGAGATATATTGATCTTTGTAGATGGCTTAAACATTTAATATTAAGCAATTTAAGATAAAATTTAAAATTAAATTAGAAAAGAGAGTGCCTAATTAATTAAGGTCCACCACAAATAATTGTTAGTGAAGTGGACAAATTAAGAGAGTTGAAGAAGTTAGGCGAGCCTGATATAGCCGTAATTAATTAAATTAATTTTGTAATTAAAAGAAGCCTCAAGTCTAAGATGGATAAATCAGTTGTATTTTGAAATTGATATGTTTTTCGATTATATATATATATATATATGACATGTGACTAAATTCAATGCATGAGTGGCACCCAAGTCAAATAATTTTGATTGATTATGCTCTAATTTTATTTGAATTGTGATATTTCATTCTTACATTTTGGTAAAAAATTGTAATTTACTATATTTGTTAGATTGAATATTTAATAATCTTTTGTTAAGATCCAACAAAATTTAATAGAAGTTTGGGCCATATTTGTTAGATTTATGTGGAATCTGATTGTGTCGATCAATTAAATTGCACTACTGACTCAGACCTTAATTTCATCAACTGAGTCAATGATCAGATTCGTAGGGTTCAAAGGGGGCAATATGTCTCTTGCTCAAAGGTTCTAAGGCGATGCCCACAAACTTTTTTTTTCTTATTCATAAAAGTCCCTAGCAGTATAAATCAAGTGCCAAGGCATTGTAGAACCCTTCTAGGATAGAGAGTACAACGCCACAACCTCGTAGTTCCATTACCAAAATTCTATAGTTTACAATGCCAAGACGTTGCAAGATAGAGAAGTCAATGCCGATGCATATTATAATTAAAGTACAATGTTGCAGAGCTGCTAGTCAGCTTGAGTAATTTTTTTGCTTGTTCCTCTTATTTTTCTCGAAAAGTTGCATCATTTGGTGTAATAGAAAAGCTCTCTTTTTATGTTCCAGAGGGTAGAACGGTGTGAGAAGTACTGAAGGAAGACAAGGAGAGAGTGAGAGAAGAGTGGTCGATAGGGGTGTCAAAATTTGACACAACACGAAAATTCAACCCGGAAAATCCGGGTTGGACCCGACTCGATTTCAAAATTGGTCGGGTTCAGGTTCCCGGATTCGACCCGTTTGAAAAACAGGTCTGATTCGGGTTGACCAGGCGGACCCGTGAACCCGTTTAATTTGAACTGCCCCCACTGCCCCGCCTGCCCGCGCCTTGCCCGGTCAACCCTCCCAGCCGCGCACCCTCGCTCGCCCGAGTGCGCACTTTGCGTTTGCCCGCGCTCACACCCGCGCACGCCCGTGCGGGCACGCTTGCCAGCGCTCGCCGCTCGCATCGTCCTAGCACACGCACGAACCTGCTCGCTCCCGCGTGCGCCCGCTCTAGCCCGACCGTGTCCGGGCGTTTCGGGTACCGTGTCGAGTCGGGTCCGGTTTCAGATTTCCGACCCGTTTCTCAACCCGGGTCTGGTTAGGGTCGACCCGTTTGAACCCGGGTCAGTTCCGGATTCGACCCGAACCCGACCCGTGATCCGAAATTAACACCCCTAGTGGTCGATATAATTTCTCATTTTTATAGTTGATTTATGGGTATGGTACTATAGCTCTCTGTGGTATTTCCATGTTAAATCTTAGTTCCCATTTCCATTGTTTTTAATTTCCCTTATTTATTTTTTGTTGTGTGGTTTTATTCCTAACAAAGTGCCATTACTAATATGCGCAATTACTGTAGCATTCAATAAATTGGGCTCAACAGAAAAAGAAAGATGATAGAGAGTTAAGAGTTAAATAATAGTTACTAAAATTATAAAAGTTCTTCTTTCTAATTTGATTAAATTAGTGGGACTTTTATGCATTTCTTCATAAAAGTGTCTCCTCCCGGCCTGCTATTAATAATTTAATATTAAGAGCTAGTCAACCTCACATCACCAATTATTACCTGCAGTCAACCCCACATAACGTTGTGACACATGCCCATCTACTCCATCTCAGACCCAAATCATTCCTACGTGGCAGCCACTGAAACCAAAAGTACAAAACTATCTTGCACCCTAAATTGCATTAGATCTCTACTAACAGAGTGACCAGACAACTACAAGTGATGGTCTATCTTTCTGTCAAAGCTGAGTACTATATAGCAATTCAATGTTGTTGACAGAAGCAATGGTATCTTCCATAGGAATCTCAGAGGGCATAGTTTTTTTTTTATATATTTAGGTTAATTAAGACAAATTCATACACAAAATGCATACACAAAGACTCGAATTCAAGACCTCTTAATTGAAAGTCTAAGTTCTTAACCTACAGATCGAACAAGATAAGCTGTGTTAGAAGGCATAATTACTTGCATCAAACTACATATGTGACCTAAATTAAACATTATGCTTTATTTCATCCATAATATAAAAATAAAAATTACATTACTCTATACACAGGGTATATATGTGAAATTATTATGTGAGGATGCGGGCGCTGTTCGGAGGCGAATTAGAACGCGTTGTATCACTCATTTGCTATGTACTGGGTGATATTGAGTGTTTTGATTCGCTTCCGAACGGTCTGATGTCCGCACATAATAATTTCTTGGGTATATATATATATACTATTACGTATAGGAAATATGACTGAGTGACGAGGTTGACAAGAAACTTACCTGCAAACGATAAATGCGTGAATAATTCTGTATCTGTGGCCTTGATGAAGAAGAAGAGATACTGCAAATGAGATATATATGAAGATTCTATATATAGAGAGAAAGAGAAATGAGAGAGAGAGAGAGAGAGAGAGAGAGAGAGAGAGAGAGAGAGAGAGAGAGAGAGAGAGAGTTGGCAGACATTAATTGTTGATTAACAACTTCTGGTCACAGAGAAGAACACGTTTATGGAGGAGCTGTAGTGGGAAGAATGTGAGATTTCTGAGAAGGAGATATACATATAGTGATATGAAATATTGTGAGAAACCGACAATGTAATGATCAATTCAAATTAGCAATTCAGAATTACGAGTTTGCACTCAATGCCCTCAAAAATATCTCTTGGGGTAATGTAGATCTGAATTGAACTGAAATCTAAATACTAAAATGTATCCTTTTTTAAATTTGTAAATTTTGCAGTGATAAATATAATATATATATTATAAGTTTGCATTAAAATTGTTTAGAATTTTGTTTTTGTTTAGTTTTTATCGCTATGATGTATGGTACATATATTAATTCCAACTGCAATAATAGTGGCCCAAAGCAATTTTTTGCCGACATAAGGTTTTTATTTAATATATAACAGTTTAAGACCAGGAGATATAGATTGTAACATCCCAACTTTGAAGGGCAAATATGCAAATATGATAGAACAGTGACGTTAGGTGACCTCTGCAGGTCACATGACTACCACTGCTGCATCTCTGCATGAATTACAGTTCTCTTCTCCATCTTCTTCTTCTTCTTCTCTCTCTTCCCCTCTGTGTGTTGCATACATGCATGCACTTGCATGACATGCATGCATGGTCGCATGTCAGCCTCACGGTCATTGAATGTGGAGGGAGAGGAGGAGAACACGTCAGCAAGACTCGTGGGCTTCTGCGAAGCCTAGCATTGAGGTCGGCATATAAAGCTGGTACCTTCCACAACCAGTTACTTTGTTTGTTGGATTCCCGGAATCCAAGTGTTTAATCGATCTCCAAAAGCTAGAAAGGACTGAGAGAGAAGGGGACCAAGCGGACCACTGGGTCGATACTTAACATAATGGCCGGTCCCAACCTTTTCTTCCTACCTTTAAGTTTTTATTGGTGATGAGGTTTGTTTTCAGCCACTCCTTGCATTGTAAGGGTCGGTGAAAGAGTGGAATTATTATTATTGTTGTTATTATTTGGAGTCATGACCATACTAATAAACATAATTTCATCTATTATTAGTGGAGAATCCCGTGTAAAAATATTTTTATTTTATTGTAAAATTTACAAGAAGGGTAATTTTAAGATTTTGCCCCCCTCTAAAAAAAAATTTCACCCTTACCTGCCCAATTTTCTCCCTCTTCCAACTCCGACGACCAATCTCGGCTTCGACGGCCATTCGCGGCTTCCGTGACAAAACCATCAAGCTTGGGATATTAGAAAGGTTAGTTTCTTCTCCTAAAAATTAGAAAGGCAATGCATGCTCTCACCTTTCATAGGATTGGATGGTTCTTCAAGATGTTTATCACTTAGTTATATTCACCAACTTAATGTTCAACTCTTTTAGCTAATCTGCAAATGAAGTTGGTTGTTATTGCTTTCTCTGCTTTGTTATAATAATTATTTATGATGAATATAACATGGAGATGAACATGAAATTGGCTGTTATTGTTTTCTACTGATTTGGTTTCGACAGAAATTAACTCATGCCGTTGTTCTGTGTGATATTTGTATAAAATTTGGACATTAAACTCTCAATTTCTCCACTGCCGCAAATGTTTTGGCATATAACAAATCTAATTATTATGTAAGAATTTATGTAAATTAGTCTCAAATTTAAAAACTACTACCTTATGTAATAAACTTGATAAATCATAAAAAATTTATGTTGAATGGGAACGGATTTCAAGGAAAAACTAAGTTAGAAACTTCAAAAATTAAATCGGAGATCGTCTGAATTACGATTTCAGCAAACTTATAATCAAACTGAAGTCTCGAGAATATGAACCCAACGACACCAAATTCGACTCAATCCGAGCCTAAATGGGTCCAAATCGAAGACCTAAAGTGCATTTGAAAGGTTCAAATCATAATATGGATTACCAAACAATTTTCGAACATACCATGCTTATAGTCGGTTCGAGCAGCTCGACATGACAAACCCAACAAGCCCAAGATCGTCAAATTCTAATATCACTAAGACATTTATATGCCAAATAAACGATTTATGATCTAGGGAATACAAATTGGCCGCTGTCCATTCAAATCACTCCCTAACTACCTTTGATCTCCCTCCTATTTACTGGCCATTCCATTTTTAAAAAAAAAATTATAAATAGACACATTATTTCTCATTGGGGGTGAGAAAGAGACCCAAGCAAAAAAGAGAAGGAAGTAGACTGGGAGAGGAAGAAGAGAAATCTAAGATCTGTCTTGTCACCAAGCTCCTCCTCGACCACCGCTTGGAATTTTGTCGGCCACCGCCAGTTGTCAGACTTCTGTCAGGCTTCTACCTGACGCCAGACTTCCGCTCATCTCCAGACTTGGACTTCCACTCGGCTTCTAATTATTGTTGGACTTCCACCAGACAATGATCATTCTGACCTCTATCGTCAGACTACGATCTTTTCAATAGCATCTCAAACTCTTAACTATCGAGATATTGTCTTTTTTGGTCTAAGAGGCTCATAGTTTTATTATATTAGTGTAACTTCACAGTAGGTCACCCATCCTAAAATTATTCTAAGATGAGCACGCTTAAATGTGGAGTTTCTAAATAAATTCTAACCGTTACACCAAAAGGCGCATCGATGTTTAAGAGTTTAACTTCTTTTACTTAAAAAGTTTCACATTTCCAACCTCTGTCGCTAGCTGACTACGGTCTTTCCGTCCTCCGTCGTTAGACAACGATCTTTCTGATCTCTGTCGCAAGTCGATAACGATCTTTCCAACATCCATCGCCCACTAATTACAATCCTCCCTACCTCCTATGCAACTAAGGCCTCGTTTGAGACCTCTTTCTTACTGGTTCTTAGAGAAATTTTTTAGTAATAAAATTAAATTTTTGTATTAGAAAGCCGTTTTAAGCAGTAAGAAAGCCGCCCCAAACGAAACCTAAGACGACTTGAATTTTAGCTTATTCTAAGGATAAAGAATCTATACATAAATATCTGAGTTACGTAATATTTTTTTATCAATAAAATTTACTATTCAAATTTACAATCTTGCATGAACTTACTGATGTGGGATTCCTTCAAGTTATATAATTAGGTTCAAATTGAATTTACTGTAACCGCACGGCTAACCGCGCGGTACAGCGCGCAGTCGCGCCGTTTCGAACGCGACGCGCGGTTCGGCCGCCAACGCGTGTCCTGGCCCGATTTTTGGCCCGGACGGTCCGATTCGGACGTTTTTGGGGCCCCCGGACACGTTTTTGACGTTATGGACTCAATTTCGATGCTTTCAGAGCTCAATCGAGCCTATATGTTCAAGTTCGAGCAAGCTATTAATTTTTGGAACACAATTTTTTGATATTCAACCAACGTAAAATTTTGGAACAAGTATTTTCGGACTTCTGGAGCTTCGACGTCCAAAAATAGGGGGGCAACTGATACGTCATCATGAAATTATATTGATCGAGCACGAATCTCGAGGCAAAACCCAACCTGGAAACTTTAAAAATTAAATCCGGGAGCACTCGAACTCCGATTTCAGCAAGGTTATAGTCAAACTGAGCGTCTCAAAAATACGAACCCAACGACACCAAGTTCAACCCAATCCGAGCCCAAATGGGTCCGAATCATGGACCCGAAGCGCTATTGGAAGTTTCAAACCGCAATTTGAGGTACCAAAGGTCTCCGATTTTAACGAGCTTATACTCGAATCGAACGGCTCGACGAGACAAATCCAACGAGCCCAAGATCACCAAATTCCGACATCACTAAGGCCCACGAATGACCAACGAATGGTGCACGAACGTAGGATTCAATATCGGCCGTCCATTCGACCACTCCCTATTCGTCCCTGATCTCACGTCTATTTACGGGCCATGCCACTCCATAAAATATATAAATATAGCCCTCATTTCTCATGAGAGGGGATCCAAGCAAGAAGAGAAAAGGAGAAGAGAAGGAAAAGGAGGAAGAAGCTCCTCCTCGACCACCGCAGGAGCCTCGTCGGACCACCGCAGGAGCCTCGTCAGACCACCGACGGAGCCTCGCCGGACCACCGCCGCAGTTTCGCCGCACCACCATCTTAAGGCCTGACATTCAATCCCTACGTCCTACTGAAGACCCAACGTCCTGCTTAAGGCCTGACATTCATTCCCTACGTCCTACTGAAGACCTGACGTCCTGCTTAAGGCCCGACATTCAGACCCGACATCCAGCTGAAGACCCGACGTCCTGCTTAAGGCCCGACGTTCAGCCCCTACGTCCTACTGAAGACCCGACGTCCTGCTTAAGGCCCGACGTTCAGTCCCTACGTCCTACTGAAGACCCGACGTCCTGCTTAAGGCCCGACATTCAGACCCAACATCCAGCTGAAGACCCGACGTCCTGCTTAAGGCCCAACATTCAGACCCCGGTCTCCTGCCGACTACGGTCTTTCCGACCTCCGTCGCTTACTATGGTCCTTCCGACCTCCATCAACAGACAACGGTCTTTCTGACCCCGGTCTCCTGCCGACTATGATCCTTCCCGACCTCCGTCGCCTACTATGGTCCTTCCGACCTCCATCAACAGACAACGGTCTTTCTGACCCCGGTCTCCTGCCGACTACGGTCCTTCTGACCTCTATCGCCTACTATGGTCCTTATGACCTCCATCAACATACAACGGTCTTTCAGACCCCAGTCTCCTGTCGACTACGGTCTTCCCGACCTCCGTCTCCTACTATGGTCATTCCGACCTCCATTAACAGACAACGGTCTTTCTGACCCTGGTCTCCTGCCGACTACGGTCCTTCCGACCAAACGAACATGTATATGTAACTCCTGCCATGTAATGCAATCTATATGATATACATTTGCTACATCAATCC